GGGGGGGGGGGGGGGGGGGGGTAGGATAAAAAATAAAATAAATAATTTCAGTAAATAGCCTATATTGATGACCACAATGTTTTGTTTTAATATTTGTCATTAAGGTTGGGCGGGAGTTGGTGGAGTTCTACAGTAGCATGTACGCTCTGTATGTGGCTAATGGAGACCCAATCATTGGTATAACTCTCACATTCATCCACAAGACAGTAAGCACAAACTATTTCCTTTTACTTAATGCTTTTGCAACTCAAGAAATATTCATGAATTGTGTAAAATACATAAGTGAAATTTCACTTATTACAAATGTTATTTCATCATTCCTTTTTTATAATAACCGAATGTAGTGCCCTTAAAATGCTCTTCAATGCTACATTTCAAATATTTAGAATCCACCACTAAATTAATGGCTAACCAGTTTTTGTCATCATGATGTAGTGACACAAAGACGGCATTGAAGTTGCATTGAAGTGCGTCTTTTTGATGAAATGCAATCAAACTTTAGGAGAAACACAGGCCTGTGCTTCACTGAGGAGCTTTGCCATTCTCTGTGGCAGGCAGGCAACTGCACTGATCAAACACTTTTCCAGCCACAGTCTGGTTCCTTGCTTTGTTTTGATCAGAGTCACTGCAGCTCACAGTGAACCCACGCCATCATGAACGTGGTTGTGTCGGTAGTCTATGAAAACGATGTCTTGGCTTTGATGCAGAGTAAAAACCCAAGCTCACAACCCTGCCTAGTTAGTTGGCCAGCTAGGTCTTGTTAAGATAAGAACAGAAAATGACATTCTAGTTTTTGTGTCTGTGTTTATTTACAGCTGCACATAGATAGTTGGGTCAGAGTTGTTGCTCTAGCTAACAGGTGCTAACTGGCTAACTTAAAAGGCGGGGTCATGTGACTGGTGACGACACCACAAGTTGACATAATATGTGTCATTAGAAAAAGTATGAAAACATTTGGAAATAGGTTTTCTTTTTTTTTTTTTTTTACAAAAGTTATGAAATGTGAAATTTAAAATGCTACTAAAATAAGAATGATGAAATAGCATTTCAGTGTGAGTTTTTAAAATGTTATGACACTTTTGGGCTCCATATATTAATATAATGTGATATGTCAAATATAAGGTGCTCATTCATTCATTTGGAGTCTGCTTTGACTGATCTTCATCTCCCTCCCTTGTAGCTTCACTGCTGTGGAATGACAGGAATCTCCTTGATAGAGCTGGTTCAACAAACCTGTCCCGAACCAGATGGGTTCTTGCAGCGTTTCGCCATGCCTGTAAGTGGGGTGCAAAGAAACTGAGCTGTTCTAATGAAGCTGCTATTTGTGTTAAGTATTGAATGGTTTGTTTTGAGGTCATCTTTTTACTATTGATGTTCACTTAAGATAGTAGTACAATGTAGGGTGACTAAATTAACCCCTTTTCTTGTTCCTAGCACTGGAAATTGAACTGCTGTAGACTGTGGGTTAGCTACAGTGCAGAGGGTGTTAACAGTGTATCCTGTCTTGGCATTCCTACAGAACTGTCCTGGGATCATCGTAGATGTCTTTGACAGGAAAGCAGAACTGGTGATGGGCATCTTTATTGGAATTGGAGCTCTTCTGGTAAGCAAATATATTGCATGCTGCACTTTTCTAAAGTTAAATGCAGTAAATCAAGGAATCAAGGACATTTATTTACCATTATACAACACAGGACTGTATATCGAAATGAAAGTTTGCAGTTACTTTCAAGCTGAAATAGGCTGGTGACTGAAAAAAGATGTTACAAGATAAATAAACCAACAAAAATTCAGTTACATTGTTGTTTTGTTTTTAAAAATAACTACGTTCTTCTTGCCAGTTTGTATTGAGAATCAAATGTGTGTATTTGCTTACTCAAACATCTGTAGGAGATAATATCACTCTACTTTCTAACACTTTAAACTAATAGCTCATTATTAAACCACATAAAGTAATTTGTTTTAAATATTACAGAATTGTACAGAAAAGGATTTAAAAACTATACAAAAACTGATTCTAAATGTGATTATTAACAAGACTAACAGCGCATGTTATATCAGTGAATGTGTCAGAATCCGATCTGCCTGACCACATCTGGAGGTTGTCTGGTTGCATTTTGTGGGGATTCTGGATAGGTGCAAACACAATCTGTACAACGTGCTGGCAATCGTCCACAATATAACTGATAGATAGTTGTTTTTAGCAAGCATTAAATATGGCTTATCGTTCAAATTTAGATAGCAAACCAGCGGGAAGGCTGAAAGAGACGCCGCTAATTCTGTGCAATTAAAGTGGCAAACTGTGCATAATTGAACAGAACCGCATGAAAAATGAAAGCAAATACGGCTGTGAAATGAATGATAGACAGTAAATAACTGCCAAAACACAGTACTGAGAGTACAGAGTACAGATTGATGTCGAAACATGGCAACCTCGAAGGAAGTAAGGGATACGGATATCTTTGTGGGAAAAAAAAAGCTTCAAATGAAAGCTTCATTCTGTTGTTCGCCTATAGACAAGCTTGTGTTCTTGTTCATAAAGTTACTGAACATGTTCTAATCACTTTGCACCCCTCTGTCTCTCTTAATCATTCCCCTTCCCCTGCTTTAATAATCATTTTTTCCTTCATTTCCATTCTTCCAATCATTGGTTCCCAAAGATCATAGCTCTGATTTGCAGCACAACCCTCAGTAAAAAGATGCATCAGTCTGCCTCATCTCCTCAGTACCTCATCCTGACTCAGCCTCAAACATCCCAATTTGTCTCCACCTCCTACCCCAACCCTGACAATGACCCAGTCGTCTTCACCCCTCTCACTATGGCTAACATCCCCATAGCTTAGTGCACTTACTATTTCACACTGTCTCTCTCGCGCCATTCTCTTCACCGCTGAACATGTTCAGCTTTTCTCTGCAATGGCATCTTATTAAGCTAATCATTCTGCACACATTTTCAACAATCACGTGTCATTTATTGAGTGTCTGGAAGTGGTGATGTACGGCACAGTACTAGTCCCTGGGTGGAGGCTCACACTAGTGAGGCGCAGGTTACAGAAATACATTTACATACAATACAAAGATATTAACATTTTGCCTTTAATCTCACACAAGCTTCTTGGTAGCAGGAGCTTGTATGTGCAACCTCTCTCTCTCTCACTAATTCATTCTGTGGCTGGTTTAATCATGGGGGTGGATCATGGGGGTGGTGAGGAGGAGAAGGCAGGCTGTTCACTGCACAGGTCTTTGTCCCATCACTGCTTTTTTTTTTACCCCNNTTTTTTTTCCCCCCCCCCCCCTCCACTTTGTGTGCATGACAGATTATTGCCACGGTCTGCTCCGGTCTCCTCCTGAAAGAGCTCAAGAAAAGCAAGCAGGCGGTCACTGCATACTATTCGACTGTGTACTAAGAAGAGGTATCCGCTTCCAACCTGCAACCTCATCAACGAAGACCATCGCTGAAATTCAGGCTGAATCAGCAAATACAGGTTTACAGATTTTTACTCTCCACATGGACGACAGGTCACTACTACTAGTGTTAAAATTGATATCCTAAAACATTACATTGTGCTAATAATTTGAGCCTAGAAACAAATATGGCTTTGTTAAGAGGCGTTTACAGCCATCAATATTATCGTACAGTACTCCTGGTGAAATGGACGTTGCTTATAATTAGCTATTTTTCATCGTAGCCAAAACTGTCAGTTAGACAGCACGTGCTTCTTGGCCTGAAAGGCTAGGCACTGTGGGCAAACAATACGTAATCTGTGGAGGAGAACACCTCATCTGTTTAACGAACTTTATGAAGAGAACGGAAGCCTTTTGTTTTCAAACTCCCACGTGTGGTGCACATTTGAGTAGTTATGTTGTACAATAATGACAGGAGTTCTTTTACACTGCTGGGTTTTGTGCGTTTGTCTGTTGCTGCAGAGTTAAATACTCCCTGAGCCACTGATGATTTATGTATACATTGCTAAAAAGCCATTTTCTTTCAAATACATTTAAGCTGTTGTATAAGCTCGCTGACAGCGGGTGACACGTTTTCAAAAAGGTGTTGCCCTGAGTCGTAATCTACATCACCACACCAGTCAATAAATGGGTCAGGCTAATTACTAACTAGCTTCACGTTCTGTTACCAATTTATTTCTGTACTATAGAATTTAACAATGCTACCATTCCTTTACTATACTTTTATAAAACCTACAGTCCATTTATTTCTTCCATTCATGCACCTGTTTGAGTGGCACAGAAATATTCTGCACACTTTCCTCAGCCATCAGGTTTTATTAAAACTGATTGTATAAACATTTAAAGTGTTGTGTTGCTTTAGAGCTTTCATGTAAACACTGGTTTGAACCTGAGGGAAACACTTTGCCATTAATGGACTCAATAGTATACCTTTTCCGTCCCTAATGTTCCTGTTCAAGCCAAAAGCTTCTGTGACCAAATAAAAGTACAAGTGTCTTGTTTGATATGAAAACAGCTGAATGCCCAGAATTGCTTGAATTCTTTCTCTGTAGTACCATTTCATTGCACTATATAGTAGTACTAACTCTTGTATTGCACTATATTGACAATTTTTTAAAAATAAATATTCAGAGGACATTTCCCTCTTTTTCACAGAGACTTGCGTCCTGGTTATTTCCACAAAACACAAACAAAGTGCAGATGTGTAAAAGTGTCTTTAATTCATTGCTCACACGTCACTGTTGGGACCTATGAGGGGAAAAAGAAGTTAATGAAGTGATGGCAAAAAAAGCTTTTTTTTTACTCATACATCTCAAACATGTTTCATTTGATTTTTCAGGGTAATGGGAAGGAATATTATGTAGCCACAATGTATTTAAAAAGGAATTCTTTAGTGCAGCATCTGTGTATAATCACAGATTAATTGTTAGTTATTATATATAGGGACAATCGTTTTCCTGTTTAGTCTAGAACCCACAAGTGTTCACATTATAATGAATATATAAGAAGCCTCCTGATAAAATACTGGACCACTCCTGAGTTTCTCCTTTGTAATTGAACTTACTGCTGATGCAGCCTACAGTGCAGTCACCATCTGCAGCAGAACACACCTCTGTCAAGCACATGAAGAAGATCTGAGGGAGGAAAAAAAAAAAAATTAAAATAGTGGTTTAACTACTGAATTACTGTAAACCTACACTACTTTAGACCTCTAAGGCAGGCTGAACCTGAAAGAAACATTATAAATGCCACTTCAAAAGGCCAAAATAGAAGTTTACTTGAATGAGAATGTTAAGTAGGAGATACCTCTGGGTCCTCCAGGTGAGAGTAGGCTCCTTTAGCCATGTAAGAGGGACTTTCTGTGTCCAGAGACAGGTAGGTAGAAATCATGATCCTCCGTATATGGTGAGAGCGTGGGGAACGAAGTGGTTGTGCGCCCCCCTCGCTGGGACAGCTGAACAACACAGTGATGAAAGAACAGTTACAAATGAAACAATAAAAAATAAAGAACACCATGCAGAGCTTTGCAACTATAAAAACAACATTCAGCCGGAATCAGCACCCAGTAACCTTTAACAAACAGACAAGAAACAGACTGTTCTTTGACGTAATCCTATGAAAAGATTACAGCAAGCTGTAGTCAAATAATCATCCTGCTTAGTCACTGTGCTGTGTTTAACGCTCACGACTGAAGCTGCCAAGACTGATCGCAATACAAACATCACGTCAAACTCCATTTATTTCCTTTATCTCTACATACCCATCATAAACCAGCATCCAGCTGGTATATGGAGTTTGAGTGTAAGCCAGGCAGGAGTGAACCAGCAGCACCAGGCTGGGCTCTGGGGGGTCCAGTAGGGAAACCTCCACATAAACTGGACTGCCTTGTATGTGGCTAAGCGGTAGGTGAGCCTCAGGGTGGAAGCTGGTGAATGACTCATCTAGGAGGTAAAGAACAAAACCTTTTCACAGCAGCCATTTTGACATTAAATAGTAGGGTCAACACAGATGTTAGCAATGACACTAATTTAGGTTCTGTTGGGGCTGCTATTGTGCATGTTGGCACACTAGCACCAGCAGCAGCAACCACTAACAGAGAATACAGACAAGATAATCACCTGTGGCAATTCTCAGTTGCACAGTGACCATGGCTGGTGTAGCCTGAATGGGAGGTGGAGGAGGTTGATCCATCACATGGAGTCTAACTTCACCTGGAGACCCCGGTGAAGAACTACATTCAACCATCAACCTATAGATCAACACAGGCAGCTGATGTACACAAGATGGTGGGCCAGGGAAACAAATCTAACACAGTGGATGCAGTGTGTCAAATTGCCAATCCAAGCTGAGCATCTTAGACAATTTCATATGACATATAGCCATGTGTTTCTCTTGTTTATTTTGAGAATCTGTGATCAGCTGCTTCAAATGAGGATGAGGAGGGATTGTCAAATCGCTGCACAGTCATCAGCAAATCTCTCCTAACAAAGATCCAATTGCTGCAAATTTATTGAGCTAGTTTATACAGAGGTTATGAAGACGTTATTTCAGGATAATAACCTGCATCTCTCAATACTGTAACATACGTCTATAAGAGTAGCGGTGACCTACAGTACAGTTACACTTTAATAGGAATTTATCACTTTGCGTCAGAGATGTACCTAAGGTAAAATAAGCATGTGATAGAATCAAGGCCAGAGCATTAACTCTCACAATATGCCATTTGAAAATCTTTGAAAATTCTTGTAATATCAAAAATGAACAGGCAAGAAAGCCAATATTCAAGAAGAGCATTTTACTGACTGCAGCAGACTGTAAATGCTCTGAAGAAGCCCTTGGCTGAGCAATTGATTATAGTGCGTTCTGAGCAAGGTAGTAATTACAATGCTCCTATCAGCTGTTGATGGGACACCGTACCAACATAATGACACTTCAGCCAGCACATGCCTCGAAAGGTCATCATTTTGCACTAGAACTGTAATTTTGGAAATAAATGTAGCTAAAAAAGTGTCAGCAAATGCAAAAAAGTGTCAAAGGTCATGTTTTGTTGAAGAGAAATAATTTCATTAAAAACAAGTAATTGTCACATTTCCAATACTCTGCAAACAGTAAAAACAAAAACTTTAAAACCATTTTCCCAGTTATACACTTTTGCCTGTGTAAAAAAAAAAAAAAAAAGGTCATGCCATATGCAAAGGGAAAGATGTTAAAACAAACTGAATTCATAGCAGAATGAGAGAAAACTAACAAAGCATGCCCCACAAATATATGGTGGAAAAAATGCTCCATTCGAAATAAAGTTAAAAAGTTTTCTTTAAAACAGTAGTGCCATACCTGACAGGAGAGTTCTCATACACAGAACTGTGGTCTTGAAGAGAATAGATACCATGGACTTCCAACAGATGAACCACTGTCTGACCAAACTCCTAATAAGATAATGATATTGGAAAAAAGGTTCATTTTATAAAACAACCTGATGCATGCCCCTCCAGTTAACTACCAGTGAGGGCAGTCCAAGCATCACTCTATTCAGCCACATTCAATTTGAATAACTTTTCATGAAGCACCATCGCAGTGGCTTGCTTTGTTTTGGAGCTCTACATTACGTGGTGTGCATACAGTACCAGGGTGCCTTACGTGTTTGTTTACTCCACAGCCATCTAGGGGGACAGCGTAGATGTCGGGGTCAGAGGTCAGCCTCTGCAGTGTGCAGGATGAATTATTGACCTCAGAGGGATGAGCTGGGGGGGCCACTGTGGGCTCCACCACACAGTCAGGCATCGCAAAGATTAAATGCTGTCCCATTGTACAGTCTGACAGTGAAAGAAAAAACACTTTCAAGTCAAGCATAAATATTTAACTGTAAGCAAAGATCATAATCTATTAAAATGTTTTCAATTCTGTGGCTTCTGTTTCCCTGGCCCACACATGACTCATCCTATTTTTAGGGTTTTTCCCCCACTGTCAATTCATTTTCAATCAGACGTGTGTTAGCAAGATCTGCATTTGGAAAGACTCACCTTTCACGTGGTACAAACAGCAGCCTGAAGGACAGCTGCAGTCAAATTCTGACATGAGGCCAAGGCCACAGGGTGAGGCAGAGGGAGTGTACGGGTTGGCCTTGATGTGATCTGAGCAGAGTAAGTAAACAGAGAGGAGAGATAGTTACACTTGAATGGGTCTAGTCATCAGCATGAAAGATGATGAAGATCAAGTCTATACAGGTGTCTAGTTACAGCCAGAACCAGATGCTAGATCTTTATCGAGGACTTTTAATATCATTGTTCTGGATATGGTTTGGTGAGCTCACACAAAAACAAAATGAAGTCAGTACAGAATATTGTTCTGCCCCCTTGTGGTCATCTGAAGTCAAGACACTAATGTTAAAAGCTACATCTGGAAAACACAAGACACTTCTACAAGCACCTAAAACATCACTGTCACCATTTACCTTTCATTTCATTATCCAGTCCCTCTGCTGCTTCTCCTCCACCAGGATGCCCAAAAGCATCAAATGGCGGTTGCTGAGTGATATAATGGGAATAGAGGCTATGAAAGGGACTCGACTGTGGGATGCTGGGATTTTCTGCCTCAGCAGCATGACCCAGCTGATCCATCCTGCTGTAGTCTGAGGGAAGCTGAGATTCTGATTTTGAGCTCATACTGCCAGCAGGGCTGTCTACAGACATGTCAGGGTGGTAGTAGAGGTGGTAATAGTAGTAAGGATGTAGGGGGCCATGGGAAACATCATACATTGATTTTGTAGGTGGAGTTTGAGGTACGTGATAGAACGGATGCTGTGGTGGGGAGGAGGATGCCTGAAGCAGAGGGTCTAAAGCTTCTTTGGATAAAGTTGGAGGCACAGGATTGTCAGCACTGAGTAAACTCTCAGGTCCATAATCCATCTGATAGTGGTGATAATAAGGGTAGTAGTAGTAGTAGTAGTAGTAGTAGTAGTAGGGAGGTGGAGGATTATGGTTGGGTGATGGAGTAGGGAAAGTGCTAGAAGGAGGAACTGCAACAACGTCTGGTTCAGGAGGGTAAGGCTGGACAGCAGGGTGTCTTATTTTGGAATCCAGCTCTGCTTCATCGTCCGACCAAAGTGGCTGTTTGATTGATTCTGGTCCATTTCTTTTAAAGTTTATCGTTTTATCTTGCCTTGGCTGATCCATGTAAGGATTTAGGTTGTATTTGTCATGAACCACTGATGAGTGAGGAAGTGGCTGAACAAAGGGGCTTGACTGTACATTTTGATAAGACAAATTTGCTTTTGCGGCTGTATCGGGATTGAGAGGAGCCAATCTTTTGGCCTCACCCCTAGCAATGTGCGGAAAGTAATAGAAGTAGTGGTATGGATAGGGCTGTGGAGGATAAGCTGTAGAAGGTGAATTTGTTGGAAGAGTGTCAGGCACAGATGGAAGGAACCAGTCTCTGTCAGAGTTAACTCTGCTGAGAGTCTCAGACTGCTGGGTGCTGCGGGGCAACACTGGAAATTCAGGATTATGAGGATCAGTTAAAGAGGGAACCTCAAGACCTGGATCAGGGTCTTGGGGTGGGCCAGGCAGAGGGATTTTAGGATGATGGTAGTAGTGATAATATTGATTGAAGGCATGGCTGGGGGGCTGGGGAGGAGGTGCTTCAAATTGAATGGGAAAGCCTGTATCTGAGGACTGTGTAGAAGTGTGCTTCTCAGAGAGACCAGAGACAGGAGTTTCTTGTTTTTGTTGCAGACCTGGATACACCCGACGTGAATCCTCCATATCGTCTGCAGATGAAAGCGAACTGTGGACAGTGAAATGTTTATAAGACTCTACTAGAGGAATCTGGTGGGAGTAGTAGTCCTGATCGTCTGGCTGGGGATCAACAGGAGGGAGAGGCTGTGGGCCAAATGTAGGGTCAGGAGTTGAAGATGAGGGAGTAGGAGGGTCATATGCAGCGTGTCCACTGGGACTAGGATATTTGCGGTGATATGTAGGGTGGGGGTAGTAAGGCGGGGCCAGGTAGAAAGGTGGAGCCCATGGAAAAGGCTCCAGGGATTGTGGCATATGCTCTGTTGGCCCGCTGCTTAGACGATGAGGGCTGTTGATCAGACGCTGATGGGTTAGTGGGAGTTCTTCAGGGAGAGGGAGAGGACAGGCCAATGTGAATGTCCTATCTCCTATTTGAAGAGAAAGTGTGTATTTTCCATCCTGGAATAAAGAGCAGACACTTTCTCTGTGAGGCTGTATAAAAAACAAACACGAAGCAACAATGACACTAAAAAGGGTTAATCTGCTGCAGGTTTCAACTTGCCCTTATGAGTCCCATGTGTTCTAGTGTGAAAGTTGAGTAATGGAAAACAGCAAGTTTGAATTGGTGGTCTGTCACAAATGCGGAGCCGTTGTCGTGAGTAGTAATTAGACCTTGTTTTTGCCGCTAACCAGCTCAGACTGTTACTATAAAGTGTTTAAAACAAATGTTTTATTTTAGATATAGTTGTATTTATGTTTTTTTATTTTGATTCCCTCAGATGTACTTGGTTCAGTCCATCAAGATTATAAATTTATCATAATACATCACACTAGTCCCATACTTTTGGCAATATCGCTCACTGTGAAGTAATTGCTGAGTGAGTCAATGGTATTGATCAACACATTTTTCCACTCATACAGATATTAGATAAAATGTGCAATGGGGACAAAACAAAACCACACTTACAAACTTTTGAATACTGAAAATATAATTCTTCTGTCTCATGAATGGTGTCTTTACTGAAATTCACCTTTACTGTGATGCCACATGTCACAAATGGAGCAGCGATAATAATAATTTCTGAATCTCGTCTGTCCAAAGTGTAGCCACACTGCTCAGCCAACAGCACCAAAGGGGTCCATTCCCCTCTGACTGTAGTGAAAAGAAAAAAAA